GCGAAAAGGATGAGATCGTCTGCATACTGAAGTTCAGTAATGGAAGCTGCCGATACCTTTGTTCCTGCCTGGAGTCGTTTTATGTTGAAAAGACCCTTCATTCGGTACTGGACGTTCACCCCACAGGCAACATTGGCACTGGCACGAGTAAGGAAGGCAGCCAAGAAAATGGAAAAGAGAGTTGGTGCCAGTACACAGCCTTGTTTTACCCCCGTTTGGAGGGAGAAGAACTCAGACTGTATGTCATTTTGCAGGACACTGCCATTCATGCCATCGTGGAGTTGCCTCACAATGGCGATGAATTTCGATGGGCAGCCAAAACGGCTGAGGGTTCTCCAGAAGGCTTCCCTGTTGACTGACTCGAAGGCCATGTACAGGTCACGACGCTGCTCTCTGCACTTTTCCTGTATCTGGCGGGCAGCAAAGATCATGTCAGTAGTGCCACGTGATAGTCTAAAGTCACATTGAGATTCTGGGAGGAAGTTTTTCGTCACCACTACCCCATCCATCACCACCACTACCCCATTCGTCACCACCAGTACCCCTACCATCACCATCATTACCCCTACCAGCTCCACCACTACCCCATCCATCACCACCACTACCCTATCCATCACCACCACAGTCACTACCACCTCACCACCACCCCAACACGATACTGTCACCTTCACATGAATTACCACTGCCAGGAACTCCCCCGTGTGTGTTATTACAGACACTCACCTTAGTAACATTATCACCCTGAACCCCTCACCACTTACCACCCTCACCACTACCACCTGCTCACCACTGCCTCTACCACAGTACCACTACCACAATACTACTACCACCCTACCATCACCACCACCTCTTTAATAGTGCTTTTATTACTATCACCCCAAGAGCTCCTATACACCAGTTAGTAGGGATGGCCATCACACCAGTTAGGACGGCTGGCCATCACACCAGTTAGGACGGCTGGCCATCACTCCAGCTAGGAGGGCTGGCCCTCACTCCAGCTAGGAGGGCTGGACCTCACACCAGCTAGGAGGGCTGGCCCTCACATCAGCTAGTAGGACTGGCCGCCTAGCCTGGCCCTACGATGGTCCCAGACAGTAAACGTCGTGTGTATATCATCCAACATTCTTGTTAACATTCATAACTCTCACACGCCGCCCTGCACAGCGCCAAACAACACCTTTTTTTTTATTCAATTACCCTTTATGAGCGTTCAGTTCGTTTTCATTCAGTCTCTCTCTCTCTCTCTCTCTCTCTCTCTCTCTCTCTCTCTCTCTCTCTCTCTCTCTCTCTCGTTCGTTTAATATGGCTGTAAATAAATGATTTTCCCCGGACTCACGACTCTCCGACACTGTAGCTAAGGTGTTCTCGGTATCCAGGTATATTTAAGCTATATGATCGGATTTTTACTAACGCCGAAATCTAAACATAGTTCATTTTACTTCGCCACACACCAGGCTATATGTTGTCGAAAAACAACTTCAACACGATTGCAGTATGACCCTTAAACTCAAGTCTGACTCGGAGTAAATTGCGGGTAAATACCGACAGACTCTGCCCGGACACATTACAGTGTTGAAGTATGTCCGAAAACTGATAAAATAGCTGTAGAGTGCGCCGGGCACACCAGGATGAGCTATGCCAGCCCAGGGCGGCCCGCCCGGCCCACCAGCGTCGACATCAAAGAATACCGCGCCCATCTAGACTAATTACAATCAATTAGGTGCGGTCTAGTCCAGCACGCCGCCGCCAGAGCTCTCACCTAGCTTTTGTTGTTAAAGCTGCATGAGTTTCTGGCCTGTGGAGACTGCAATGTAGTCTTGTTGCCAGAATTTGCACGGTCCGGGAGTCCATTGTCTACGGATTACCCCGGGTCCCTGCGTTCTCTTTGTTCGCAGGAAGTGTGTGACAGAAAATGGGAAATCTCTCAGTATGAATAGAAGATGGGAATTTCATGCCCACCAATTACTCCAGAATAGACAATAAAGGAGCCTTTAACTGTGCAAATTCTATTGTTTTAATACAATAGTTGGAGGTGTGTAGGCGTAAATTGGCACATGCGCCCTGAACCAGGCACTGCATTGATACTGCAGAAGGTCGTGGCGGCAGCTCCTGCTCCCAAATTTATCTCATAAGCTTGACGAAATTAATACCATATTAAAAAGAGGTAATATACGCAGAATAATTATAGAGCTGCGCCTACCTAACGTCGCCTCGCTTAAACTGACCGAGGAACACCAAGGTGTCTTAAATCACGCCCGAGACCTTCCCTCACCAACATATAATCAACCCAATCACTCACCATTAAATCATTTTTTCCCACTGCACAACCACAAATAACATTATCACCCGTTGGTAACCTGGCGTCATTACCTTCTGTATCCCTAATTACCTCACCTGCCTTAGCAAATAACTACCTGGCCCACGAGATTCATTAACATAGATCACCTGGGGAAGCTGCTGCCACCTGTAAGGCCTGGCTGTAAGTCATACATTGTTATTATCAATTACGTAGTCTGGAATCCCGCGAGTCTCAGAGGCTCGTAATTATAAATCTTATCCTCCTAACTGAAGATGTGAGGATGTTGTACTTATATGATTGAATTTAGTTAATGCATAGAAATACAAACCAAATTTTACATCAAAAGTTAGACTGAGACTCGTCTTTAGCTCGATACTTTCACTCCAAGTCTAATTTGAGTTTTATCCCCTGACTGTTGACTAATGAACGCATCGAATTTAGGGTGGAAAATAGGTGTTATTTTGTTTGTATAATTAGACGTAATATTCCCCTTTATCTTTATTTATCTATTATCTCTTATTTTCTTTATTTCTCTTAGTTCTTCTTTGTTTTGTCTTTTTTTTTTACACTCGTCTGTTCTAGTCTTCTCGTTTGTTTTTTTATACAACCTTCGTTTCTTCTCCAAACTATTTATCTCTCTTGGTTTTGTTTCTCCCTCTCTCTCTCTCTCTCTCTCTGTTATTTTCCGTCTTTAACTGTTTCTTTCCTTCTATCATCATCTTATTTACCTCCCTTCCTTCTCCACCTACGCCTCCTCTCTCTCTTTTTTTCTTATTTACTGGTACTTTTATTATTATTATTATTATTATTATTATTATTATTATTATTATTATTATTATTATTATTATTATTATTATTATTATTATTATTATTGGCTAGAGTGAAATTTAACTTCGAGATTTCAAGTCGTAATTACCTTTATAAATGATCCGGGACTTTTCTAACGCGAAGAAAAACAAATAATTTATCCAGGGATATATATTAGTTGCTGTTCTTGTTGTGTGTGTTTTGTTTTTGTTTTCACAAGACTGATAATCTACCTTGTAAGTAATGAGCAGGAAATAATTTCAATTAAAATGATTATCCGTTGTGTTGTGAAATCTCTCTGAAATATTTATGGAACATCGCGAGAAAACGTGTTAAATATAATAAGAACGAACGAGGTGGGTGTAATTGAGGCTTGGAGAAAAAAAAATCGTTGTATCAAAGGAACGACGAAACATTATTGGAACCTCTCTTCCTAAGACGTCATTTAGTTTGGTTAAATGATCGTCGGCATTCTGCAAACAGTAACGATATAATTACGTTTAATAGTTTACCACAATCTGTATCACTCTACGTCACTTCCTAACTATCGAATTGTCAAAGCAAAGTCATTATATGCCAGCGTTGATGTATAGGACTACAATCTAGGAAAATATGAAGTTAAACGGGTTTTTTTTCTGATGCACAAAACTGTTGCGAGAATATCTTTTGTTATTTAGATATTTCAGTGGTTCTATTATGTGAGTCACAGGCCGAGAAGGAGAAAAGGACGATATATATATAGAGAGAGAGAGAGAGACATCGGTTAACATAACTCCGAATTGGGAAAAGATTAGATAAGAATAAATCAAGTTCGACTGAGGAGGTAAGAACAGGTAGAGTGAATAGATATATATTTTTATATGAAAATACTAAAAAAATATGGAAATGGATAAAGATTCACTTAGAACGTAACATGAAGTTCCAAAAGTAACAAAAAATAATATAAGAACGAATGACGGAGATGCTGGAGACGAAAGAAGGAAATACAAAACAGATGAGAAGGAAAGATAAAGAAGGATATCAAGAACATGTTGTAGGAAGACTCTTACCATTTCTTTTCTCTCCTAACCATCACTGATCTGAGATACGACACAAATATGGCTGCTAAAATGGAGTCAAGACTACACTTAACTGTACCGTAATTAGATCCGTGTTCTCGTGACGCCCACAGTTCGATCATGGTACACATCTCTGATGGGGTGGCTGGGGGGGGTGGGGGGGTGGTAGCAGCTGAGGTATGCGTGACCCATCACTCCAGGGCTGGTGAGGACATGCACCAGGCAACACCACCTTGCTTGCTGGTTCCCTCTCTCACTCAGGGGACCACAGCATCACACGAGTCGTATCATAATAATAAGACGAAATCGGGAAAATACTAATACGAGTGAATAAAACATGAGAAACAGAAATCAGGAGAAAATACGATACAAAACAGGTAAACAAAAAAAAACAGACGAGGAATTAAAGTCGTTGGAATGGAAGGTGGAAGAGAGGAAATGAAAGATGGACGAGAGAAACTTGCATGGAGTGGCAGATGTGAAAACTTTCCTACAGCAATTCTTTTGTTGGTCAAGTTTATTGTGAGAACAGAGAAACACGGTGCCCTGTCCTCCTGCTACCTCGAGAATGGGGAGTGCCATTGCCTCTGAATGACCTTGTACACACACACATACATTATGGCACCCTGGGAAAGTGACTCCTGGCAAATCATAAAGTAGTGCCCAGGATGACCTTGTTTATTTATTTTATTTGTGTCATTTTAGGTCTGTATCTGTATTTTTGTACCTAAACCTTTACTTTCGTTACTGTTCCTGATTAAACCTTCCCTGTTTTTCTCTTCCATTTCACACATCAGATGGGACTTCTCACCACGCATTCCCCAGAGCCGCTGTGTTTATGTGTCGACCTGCATGCACGGACACCGCTTCCACTTCCCAAATAAGTCCAACCCGATACCATCTGAGCTGGAGAGTGGCTCGCCCGATACGGTGGTCGTGTGAAGCTTGGGATTTATGTCGGGTGTCCGTGGCCAAGTGTTGAGAGAATTAGTAGGTAAATCTTAAAAGAAGGGCCGTGCATGTGTAAGTACAGCTGCTTAAGGACACCTACCTGTGTGTGTGTGTGTGTGTCCGTGTGTGAGGTCCTTCATATCAACACCTATGGACGAGTTACTGAACCACGAGGCCTATGTGACCTCACACAGTATGGCAAGAGACCAGCCCGGACCATCAACTGTAAACTATAATAATATGTATGTTCAATTCACGTTCCTTCTCCTTTTAGGAGTGAAAGTTTTGTCAAATGACCCACCTACCCCATGTCTTCGTATGTAATAAGTAATTTTTGTCTCATGTATATTTTCAGACTTCGGGCTGTTGAACCTTTTCAATAAACCGTTAATTATTATTATTATTATTATTATTATTATTATTATTATTATTATTATTATTATTATTATTATTATTATTATTATTATTATTATTATTATTATTATTATTATTATTATTATTATTATTATTATTATTATTATTATTATTATTATTATTATTATTATTATTATTATTAGTAGTAGTAGTAGTAGTAGTAGTAGTAGTAGTAGTAGTAGTAGTACACATAACCGTCGCTGCAGTCAGTAATGACAATTCTGACATGCTGACCCTTGTGTCTCCTAACTAACTGACTGACTGACTGACTTTTCCCCAGTAACACTGACGTCACTTCTTCTGCGTGAGTTTTATTTCTTCTTGTTTTCCTTATTTTTTTCCCACCCACCACCTCTAATCTATCTATCTCCTTTTTTCTATCCAATCTTTGTTATCAGTTCCATTTCATCATTCGTTTCTCTCCCTTTCCACTTTATTCTTCTCTTTATTTCTTCACCGTTATTATCTGGTTCATGTTCCCTCGTTTATTGCCTTCTTTTTCCTTATTCTTTTTATATCTTTTCCCTCGTCTCTTCCATTTTCTTACTCATTAACACTGACGGGTTATCGTCGTCAGCCTTCTTCTTCTTCTTCTTCTTCTTCTTCTTCTTCTTCTTCTTCTTCTTCTTCTTCTTCTTCTTCTTCTTCTTCTTCTTCTCCTTCTTCTTCTTCTTCTCCTCCTCCTCCTCCTCCTTCTCCTTCTTCTTCTTCCCTATCGGCCCCATAACTCATTATCTCCTTTCATCCGACTCACACTCTCTCCATCATAAGAGATATTTTACAAGGTGGCGAGTCGTGCCCTCAAGCCAGCCTGAAAACACAGAGCTCCTCCCCCACCCAAATACACCATCCAATCACGACCCATCCTTCCTCTAGATCCTTGATTCCCATTGGCTCTCGGCTGCGGGTAAGGATGCTGCTCCCGGAGTTGTCTGAGATGCGTGCAAGGAGTCTGGGTCGAGGTGTGAAGCGGACAGCTAAATTGAAAAGCTGTCGAGGGTGGAGTGAGCGGTAATACCAGTAATCATAGCCATAAATTCTTATCCCGCTGATCTGGGCTCTTTAATCACGGCAAAACCTGAGGCCACACGCGAGATGGCCAGGCGGGAAGGCGGAGGGTGGGCAAGAGCCAAGAGGGCGGGTGAGCAGAGGTTAGGCACAATGGTGAACAGGTAAAGGATAAAGAAGAGAATAGGAGGTCGGAGGAGGGGTGAGCAAGAGGAGTGGCGGAGGTGAGGGTGACCAAGAGGGCGCGCGAACGAAGAATCAGGAGGGTGAGCGAAGGGTGAATGTGGACCTGGAGGGCGACTCAAGACACAAGCTGGAGGGAGCGAGAGGGAGACAGATTGTGGGAATGGAAGAAGGAGAGATGGAAAAAGGTCATCTAGGAAGTCTATACCTCCTCCTCCTGTCTTCGTGTGTTTTCCCTTTCCATACGTCGACGTGTTTCTGAGAGAATGAAATTGTATAACCTCAATTGTTCCTAGACATCTATCTCTTCCTCTCTCTTAGACTCCTATCCATTCCCTTCCCAGACCTCCATCCCTCTCTCTCCCTGACCTCTATCCCTTCTCCTCCAAGACCTCCATCCAAGACCTCTATCCCTCCTCATCCAAGACCCCATCCCTCCTCCTCCAAGATCTCCATCCCTCTTCCTCCAAACCCTCCATCCCTCCTCATCCAAGACCCCTATCCCTCCTTCTCCTCCAAGACCTCAATCCCTACACAGGAGCATCCAGGAATAATCCCGTGCCGACTTACCGACATTCCTTCACATGGTTAGGTTACTGCCGAAGGTCCACCATGGTACCACGTGTAATGTTCTCCCGCACTCTACACAGTATTAAAGGTTAAGCTCACTGACCTGTTATTTTTTTTTATTATATGACTCACACAAACAAATTTTCAGGCATTAGGGATTTTTCGTTCGCCCATACTTCTGCAGGTTATAGGCCAGTGCCAGTCAGTGCGCCTGGTTTCCTTTCTCATTCTGCTATAGGCACTAGTGTAATATATGAAGTTTGGTCTTCTCCCGCCATGTACTGAACCTTATTCCAATTAAATCCAAAGAACAATATCATCTGATAACTAGTGCCAATAAGGACTAGATGGAACATGGTGGTCATCATTCTCTCCTCGTTGGTTGGTTAGAATGAGTTGGGGCTTTCACATAGTGCAATAGAATATTATCTCTCAATTTAAAAAAATTGTAGGGTTGTTACGATTGTTTGTTGTATTGTAATAGCTCCAAACAATATCAACGATAAGTTAATGTTGACTTCATACACTGAAGTATTTGTTTCACCTGAAAAATGCGAGGGTGTAGTAGTCATGTGGTCGGAAGAAATGTCGGTGTAAAAATTTGTTCAGATCTCACGTTAAAGAGTTTATCAGTACTGAGTTTTGAAGATCGTGGTTATGCAGATTCAGATCAAGACAAGACAGAAGATCTGAATAATTTGTTTTCCTCGGTGCGCACAAGAGAGGATGCGAACAATCTTGTTGCATTTGAGGAAGACGGTTTGATTCAGCGCTGACGCATATCGAGTTCTCAGGAGAGTGAATTAAAGACGAAATATCAAAGCTTAAGGTACATAAGAACCTTAGATATGACAGTGTGTAATAATTTGTATTTGTGTGTTAAAAGAACGGTGCAACGTGTATGCTGAGCCCGTAGAATCCTGTCCTGCAAATTCGTGGACGAGCAAAAGGTCCCCAATGACTGATGAATGGTGTATGTGACCCCTATGTTCAAAAAGGAAGATCACCACTGCACGAACAATTATAGGCAGGAGATTTTGACTGTATTGGTCACAGTCATACATGATAATTATCGTAAAATCAGACGATTCATATTACGCTCAATAGCCCATAAAAAGCCCATAAAACATGTAACAATAACTTTTTATTGAGTTACCCATCTGACACGTTCGTTTTTTTTACCGCTTCAGTACGCCTGAGACCTCCATTTTCTCTCGTGTTCTTACAGTGACTATAATATCTCTTAGTATCTCCTGTCATATGAGATTTGAAATTGCGAATGAATGTTATGTGTTACATTAAGTTAGATAAATCTAATTACACATGAAACCTTCAAAATCATTTGTGAGTGATGTTGAAAGCTTTACCTGTATTTACTTTTAGTAAAATTGTCACGAAAGTTCTTGTGTTCGAGTTTGCAATAGAGGAGTGATTCGTATCCCTGCCCTGGAAGGCGGACCCAGTTGACTGTTACCACTGAAGTTAGTACATTTTGATTCCCAACCATCAGAGAATCTGACGATTGTATTGATATTGTTATCAGTTTTATATTTTAGAAAGTAATTAATCTTCTGAAAGAAACATGAATTCTTATCGCCTAAAATCTAACGGGAAAATCTGAGTACCGTATTCCCTTGTTCCTTGTTTGCTGACGATGTGAGAAAAGATGTTATGAGCTTCTGTGTTTGATATCAATTTGATTATTGCCTTGCAAGCTCGAACAATGATTATATTGTAAACAATTGAATTAACAACTTAATATGATCCATGACACTGATTTCCATAGACCAATGTGTGACGCAGCTGAGTTAAATGAATATGTAAGTACATGCACGAGATGATAATTCCTCTTTGAGTTGCCATACACCTCGTATATAACTTAGTGTACGGGAGAGAGGAGTCAATTTTTTGACACTCTCCCTTCGTATGTTAGGTGTGTAACTAGTGCCTCACGCCCGCCATATTAAGTGAATTTAACTCAGTTGAACTTTGTTGAATATATCAATGTTCATGCATTAACATAGTTGAAAGTCTTGTGTACCAAGTCCTGAAATAGAATAACTAGACATTGTCTATGTTGACTGCATGCATCTTCCTTGCTAGACGTGTGTGATAATTTGTATTTGATTTTAGAGTGATTTTTCTGATGCTGTCTTATTGTATCTCAGGCACTGGGTGTGACTTGCAGCTACCGAGGAATTACAGCTGCCCACCAGCAAGATATCTGAAGCAGAATGTCTTTAATCCAGTGAGATTAAAATCAGAGGGAGTGGTGCACCCTGGGAGCTAACTAAGGGAGAGTATTATTCTGGATGTACTTAAATAGTTAGGCACATTAAATTTTAGTGCAGAGAGAAAAAGTAATTTTGGCCAAAAATCCTTTAAGGCAATAGACTTACAATTTTTGTCATTTTCGGCCAAAAATGGATTTTGTTCAAAATTTCAGTATAGGTACTCCTGAATGTGCTGCTTAAGGATCTGTTAACCAAAATTTGATATCTTGATTATAACTTGTTCAAATGGCTTTTAGAAAATGTTCAAATGATTTTTAGAATATTTTAATTACTCTTGCAATGCTAATTACTCGCCACTTATGGGTTTTCGAGGTTATTTCTTGGTGCTTGTGTATTATTCTGCATGTACTTAAATAGTTAGGCACATTAAATTTTAGTGCAGAGAGAAAAAGAATTTTGGCCAAAAATCCTTTAAGGCAATAGACTTACAATTTTTGTCATTTTCGGCAAAAAAATGGATTTTGTTCAAAATTTCAGTATAGGTACTACTTAATGTGCTGCTTAAGGATCTGTTAACCAAAATTTGATATCTTGATTATAACTTGTTCAATTGGCTTTTAGAAAATGTTCAAATGATTTTTAGAATATATTAATTACTTTTGCAATGCTAATTACTCGCCACTTATGGGTTTTCGAGGTCATTTCTTGGTGCTTGTGTATTATTCTGGATGTACTTAAATAGTTAGGCACATTAAATTTTAGTTCAGAGAGAAAAAGTATTTTTGGCCAAAAATCCTTTAAGGCAATAGACTTACAATTTTTGTCATTTTCGGCCAAAAAATGGATTTTGTTCAAAATTTCAGTATAGGTACTCCTTAATGTGCTGCTTAAGGATCTGTTAACCAAAATTTGATATCTTGATTATAACTTGTTCAAATGGCTTTTAGAAAATGTTCAAATTATTTTTAGAATATTTTAATTACTTTTGCAATGCTAATTACTCGCCACTTATGGGTTTTGAGGTCATTTCTTGGTGCTTGTGTATTATTCTGGATGTACTTAAATAGTTAGGCACATTAAATTTTAGTTCAGAGAGAAAAAGTATTTTTGGCCAAAAATCCTTTAAGGCTTTAGACTTACAATTTTTGTCATTTTCGGCCAAAAAATGGATTTTGTTCAAAATTTCAGTATAGGTACTCCTGAATGTGCTGCTTAAGATCTGTTAACCAAAATTTGATATCTTGATTATAACTTGTTCAAATGGCTTTTAGAAAATGTTCAAATGATTTTTAGAATATTTTAATTACTTTTGCAATGCTAATTACTCGCCACTTATGGGTTTTCGAGGTCATTTCTTGGTGCTTGTGTATTATTCTGGATGTACTTAAATAGTTAGGCACATTAAATTTTAGTTCAGAGAGAAAACGTATTTTTGGCCAAAAATCCTTTAAGGGCAATAGACTTACAATTTTTGTCATTTTCGGCCAAAAATGGATTTTGTTCAAAATTTCAGTATAGGTACCTTGAATGTGCTGCTTAAGGATCTGTTAACCAAAAATTTGATATCTTGATTATAACTTGTTCAAATGGCTTTTAGAAAATGTTCAAATGATTTTTAGAATATTTTAATTACCTTTGCAATGCTAATTACTCGCCACTTATGGGTTTTCGAGGTCATTTCTTGGTGCTTGTGTATTATTCTGGATGTACTTAAATAGTTAGGCACATTAAATTTTAGTTCAGAGAGAAAACGTATTTTTGGCCAAAAATCCTTTAAGGCTTTAGACTTACAATTTTTGTCATTTTCGGCCAAAAATGGATTTTGTCAAAATTTTGCAGTAGGTACTCCTGAATGTGCTGCTTAAGGATCTGTTAACCAAAATTTGATATCTTGATTATAACTTGTTCAAATGGCTTTTAGAAAATGTTCAAATGATTTTTAGAATATTTTAATTACTCTTGCAATGCTAATTACTCGCCACTTATGGGTTTTCGAGGTTATTTCTTGGTGCTTGTGTATTATTCTGCATGTACTTAAATAGTTATGCACATTAAATTTTAGTGCAGAGAGAAAAAGAATTTTGGCCAAAAATCCTTTAAGGCAATAGACTTACAATTTTTGTCATTTTCGGCAAAAAAATGGATTTTGTTCAAAATTTCAGTATAGGTACTACTGTATGTGCTGCTTAAGGATCTGTTAACCAAAATTTGATATCTTGATTATAACTTGTTCAATTGGCTTTTAGAAAATGTTCATATGATTTTTAGAATATATTAATTACTTTTGCAATGCTAATTACTCGCCACTTATGGGTTTTCGAGGTCATTTCTTGGTGCTTGTGTATTATTCTGGATGTACTTAAATAGTTAGGCACATTAAATTTTAGTTCAGAGAGAAAAAGTATTTTTGGCCAAAAATCCTTTAAGGCTTTAGACTTACAATTTTTGTCATTTTCGGCCAAAAAATGGATTTTGTTCAAAATTTCAGTATAGGAATGTGCTGCTTAAGGATCTGTTAACCAAAATTTGATATCTTGATTATAACTTGTTAAAATGGCTTTTAGAAATGTTCAAATGATTTTTAGAATATTTTAATTACTTTTGCAATGCTAATTACTCGCCACTTATGGGTTTTCGAGGTCATTTCTTGGTGCTTGTGTATTATTCTGGATGTACTTAAATAGTTAGGCACATTGAATTTTAGTTCAGAGAGAAAAGTATTTTTGGCCAAAAAAAAACTTTTAAGGCAATAGACTTCATAATTTTGTCATTTTCGGCCAAAATGGATTTGTTCAAAATTTCCAGTATAGGTACCCTGAATGCTGCTTTAAGGATCTGCTAACCAAAATTTGATATCTTGATTATAACTTGTTCAAATGGCTTTTTAGAAAATGTTCAAATGATTTTTAGAATATTTTAATTACTTTTAAATGCAAATTACTGCCACTTATGGGTTGAGGTCATTTCTGGTGCTTGTGTATTATTCTGAATGTACTTAAATAGTTAAGCACATTAAATTTTAGTTCAGAGAGAAAAAGTATTTTGGGCCAAAAATCCTTTAAGGCATAAGACTTACAATTTTTGTCATTTTCGGCCAAAAAATGAATTTTGTTCAAAATTTCAGTTTAGGTACTCCTGAATGTGCTGCTTAAGGATCTGTTAACCAAAATTTGATATCTTGATTATAACTTGTTCAAATGGTTTTTAGAAAATGTTCAAATGATTTTTAGAATATTTTAATTTCTTTTGCAATGCTAATTACTCGCCACTTATGGGTTTTCGAGGTCATTTCTTGGTGCTTGTGTATTATTCTGGATGTACTTAAATAGTTAGGCACATTAAATTTTAGTTCAGAGAGAAAAAGCATTTTTGGCCAAAAATTCTGTAAGGGGTAAGCCTTACAATTTTTGTTATTTTCGGCCAAAAAATGGATTTTGTTCAAAAATTTCAGTATAGGTACTCCTGAATGTGCTGCTTAAGGATCTGTTAACCAAAATTCGATATCTTGATTATAACTTGTTCAAATGGCTTCTAGACAATGTTCAAAGGATTTTTAGAATATTTTAATTACTTTTGCAATGCTAATTACTCGCCACTTATGGGTTTACGAGGTAATTTCTTGGTGCTTGTGTATTATTCTTGCAAGGTACTTAAATAGTTAGAAGAACATTAAATTTTAGTAGAGAAAGAATTTTGCCAAAATCTCTTTAAGGCGTGACGACAATTTTGTCATTTTCGGCAAATGGATTTGGTTCAAAATTTGCATAGGTACTACTGTATGTGCTGCTTAAGGATCTGTTAACTAAAAAATTTGATATCTTGATTATAACTTGTTCAATTGGCTTTTAGAAAATGTTCACAAATGATTTTAGAATATATTAATTATTTTTGGTAATGCTAATTACTCGCCACTTATGCTTGGAGGTCATTTCTGGTGCTTGTGGGTATTATTCCTGGATAATAAATAGTTAGGTTATCAATTTTAGGTCTGAGAGATGAAAAAGTATTTTTAACAAAAATCCTTTAAGGCATTAGACTTACAATTTTTGGTTGGTTTTTGGCCAAAAATGGATTTTGTTCAAAATTTCAGTATAGGTACTCCTGAATGTGCTGCTCAAGGATCTGTCAACCAAAATTTGATATCTTGATTATAACTTGTTCAAATTGCTTTTAGAAAATGTTCAAATGATTTTTAGAATATTTTAATTACTTTTTCAATGCTAATTACTCGCCACTTATGGGTTTTCGAGGTCATTTCTTGGTGCTTGTGTATTATTCTGGATGTACTTAAATAGTTAGGCACATTAAATTTTAGTTCAGAGAGAAAAGTATTTTTGGCCAAAAATTCTGTAAGGGGTAAGCCTTACAATTTTTTTGCATTTCGTCCACAAATGGATTTTGTTCAAAATTTCAGTATAGGTACTCCTGAATGTGCTGCTTAAGGATCTGTTAACCAAAATTTGATATCTTGATTATAACTTGTTCAAATGGCTTTTAGAAAATGTTCAAATGATTTTTAGAATATTTTAATTACTTTTGCAATGCTAATTACTCGCCACTTATGGGTTTTCGAGGTCATTTCTTGGTGCTTGTGTATTATTCTTGATGTACTTAAATAGTTAGGCACAATAAATTTTAGTTCAGAGAGAAAACGTATTTTTGGCCAAAAATCCTTTAAGGCTATAGACTTACAATTTT